AACTGTTAAAAAATTTCTGAAATATTAGAGTTTATCCCTTTATTTCTAGCTGTAAATGCATAAAAATTATGGTAGTTTGCTCGCTTATTGCTATAAATCACCTGTAAATGTACATATATACGAATCACTCATATCAAGCATGATCACACAGGGTTCATTTGCACTTGCATGCATTCGATCACTATTAACTATCAAATCAATTTCCATGACAAATTTTCTAACTGCCTTAAACTCTAAGCAAAATATAAATTGCGAAATATCTTAAAATTAATTTGAAAACTTAAAAATGTTAGTTAAGTCTTAGTAAAATGTAGCAATTTAGGCAGTCATCTAAGTACATTTATTAAAAGTAAATGAAATTGAAAAATTTAAAAGATAGGAGCACTTAATATACAGAAAATAACTGAAAAGAAATTTTTCGTAATGATGGTTACAAAAAATTCAATAAAATAGTAGATCAAAGCTTCATTATGCTAAAATTAAAGAAAAAAAACTTTTGCATAATTTATTGTTTTGCCTTTTTTTGAATATGTAAACAAATTGAGTTCACAAAAAAAAATTCTAAATAAATTACCAAAAACATATTTTTTATAAAATTTTTTATTCCAGAATTAAAATTTATTTACAAAGTTTTTTTAGTTTAAAAAAATTTATTTGTAATTTATTAAGCGTCATAAAGTTTTATATAAAAAATTATAGATTAAAATTTTGGATACAAAAATGTTAATAAACCTTTTTTAATGCTTTGAATATAGTTTTTGCGTTAGCAATAATTTAATTAACTTAAAACAGAGTTATTTTGTTTTGCATACAATAATTTCAATGTCAAAATTATCAAAATGTTAAATTTTTGTATATAATAAAAACATAAAAAGCAATAGTTAAATTTTTTACAATTTGTATTACAAAAACATTCTTTTTTTTAATTTTGATACTCAAAAATAAATTTTTGTTTGAAAAAATTTTAATAAAATATACATAGTATAAAAATAATGAACTGAAATTTTGCGTAATAGATAAAAAAAAAATTAAATTTTACCTAAAAATAAAATTATAATTTTTATTACAATTTTTATCTGAAAAGTAATATTTTTATTTCAAATTTTTGGTGCACGTTCTAACCCTTAAATTAATTTTTTTTTTTTTTAACTGTTATACAAATATTAAACTATTTAAGGTTTATTTAAAATAAACTTAAAAAAAATTAAAACAAATTTCTCACATAAAAAAAAAAACAGCTTAATACATATAAAAACATTTATTTAAACCTTTCTTTATACAATTTTTCTATTTCTTCATATTTTAAAATTAGGGTTGATTAAATTAAACTTTGGTTTTAAAAAAATTATGGGCTGAAATTGTGCGTAAAAAATATTTTAATAGTTTTAAATAAAACCTTAAAAAAAATTCGTTTGAATGTTTTTGTATGCAAAAGTCTAAAAAAATATCAAAAAAATGTTTGTATGCAAACGCATAAAAATAAAAATTCGAAAGCCAATTTTTTGTACAAAAAATTTTATAAGAAAGTAATATAAAAAGAAAATTATTTAAATCCATCTTTTACTATTTCCCTATTTTTTTGAAAACAATTTTTATTCAAGGTTATTTGTGCAAGTGTTAAATTTTCAAACAGTTAAATGAACTTAAACTTTTATATACAAATATTTAACTTAGTTACCAAGGATAAGTTAAAATAAACTTTTGACTGACATTTTGCACAAAAAATATTTAAAAACTTTAAACTAATATTTTCGTATGCAAAAGTTAGAAAAAAATTTACAACAAAATTTATTTATGCAATGGTACACATAATAAAAAAATTTTGGAAGTTTCCGCATAAAAAAATTAAAAATTAAGATAATATAAGAACCAGATATTTAAACACGTATTTTCTGATTTCTTAAAACTAATTGTTTTGAAGGTTATTTATGCAAGTGTTAAATTTTCAAACAGTTAAATGAAAAACTTTGGTTTAACATTTTGTTAAGTGAAATTATATTTAAAATACTTTTTATGTTTTAAAAAAAATTTTAATAAAAAAAATTAAATTTAGTGCAGTAAGATGTTGACTGCGTCAGAAAGTAGCCTTGCTAATAATAGTAATTATGAAAGTTAAGAAATCAAATTAGTTTTTGAAAACGAAGCTTATTCAAAAAAAGAAAACAATAACTTATGCAACTTTTACGTAGATCTGTTAAAGATATTTACAACATGAAAAACCTAGTCTCTTAGAGTAGCACTCTATGTAGAAAAATGCATAGAAAAACTAGTTCATAGCCAAACCCCGCCACAAAATCCAATATATTTCGAAACTATTTATGTAGAAATGCAGACTAAGCAAAAACATTTTTTATTTGTAAATTTCAACTAAATTTACGTCATTCTGTTTTATAATAACAATTATTTAGTCTTTTTGTATTCACTTTTTAAAATTCATTATCAAGATTTCCTTTTTACATATCGCATTTTAAAGGAGTTCAGTGAAAAAAAGCGGTGTAAACTCTGTCTGAAAATGAGTTTCAAAGTTGTCTCGATAAAACTGAGCAGATCGCTTTGTCCACCATCCTTCCCGTACACCCCCTCAGTTTTCGGGTTGTTCTTCGGCTCGCCCTTTGCCTTCTATAGACAGATGGCGAGAAAGTCATTTCGACAACGATCTTCTACCTTTGTTGATTTTCATCCCATATTTGCAGTCCATCAACGTCCTCATTTGCTGGTGGAGGTGGACTGTTCTATGCGACTATCGCCCTAACAGATGAGCCATCATCCATTTTGTTCGGGACCTGAATCAGAGGCTCTCTTTTTATTTTTGAATACGGTGCCTAAAAAACGGAAGAGCCTGAGACCAACCTGTACTTTTCTGAAAGAGTTTGATTCGCTGAATTTTAAACTGGCAACAAGCTTTTCATTTACATAATTTTTGTTCTATAGTCACCGATGCGAGCCTAAAATTATACTACAAATATTTAAGAGCTTATGTAGCGAAATACATATCGCTATCTAAAGGGGAAAAGGTGCTTGGTTTTTCAAAATTTAAATTTTGATGCAGAAGGGCAGATAATGCGAATCTATATCGATTTTTCGTATCTCCTGAATAATTTCAAAAAAAAATGTACTTGGGATCTTTTCACTTTTAGGTAGCAATATGCATCATCAAACTTTTAACATAAATTGACGATAACTCCGAACTTCCCTGTAATTATCTGGAAGTAGTCCCAAAATTGTTCTGAAACAGTCCTGGTTTTAAAAAATGCGTGAAGTCGAACAAGTCTTGGAGAGATTCCGAAACGTTGCTGAACTACACCCTGAATAGGCCTGAATCTGGCCCTACCTAGTCCCGAAATGGTCCTGAAATAGCCGTGAACTATCCCTAAATGGTCACGAAAGAGTCCTGAACGAGTTCCAAAATTGTCCTGAACTAGTGCGAGAATGGTACCGAGCTAAATGGGTCTGAAATAGATCCGAAATGGCAATGAACAGGTCGCCAAACCGTCCCGAAATTGTCTTGAAATAGTCGTGAACTTGTCCCCAAATGATCTCAAACGAGCCTTGAAACGGCCCGAAATGGTATCGTATTACTCCCAAAATTATCCCAAACTAGGCTCAAACGGCCCTGAAATACTCCTTAAATAGTGCCAAAATGATATGAACTTATCCCAAAATCTTCTTAAAATAGTCCTGAACTAGTTTAGAACTCGTTCCGAAAGGGTCCTTAAATACTCGCAAACTAAACCCGAAACGAACCCGAACTGGTGACGAAATAATCCTAAAATAATCCTTAACTAGTTACGAACTGGAACAAAACGATCCCAGATAACCCCAAAATAATCCCGAATTATTCCCGAGTTGGTGAGGTAGCCCTGAACTATGTAGTACAGAAAAGCATTCAATGATTTTCTGCTGGGTTTCATATGAAGCAGTTCCAAATTTTCTGCTGGGTTAGCACAAATTTTACCCATACTGAGAGTTAAGATGTTTATTGCACATTAAAAATGTTACGACGAACATAGTGAAAATCCATTTAAATATCTCCTTAACAGGGGTGATGGAGAAAATTGTATCTAGCCAACAAAAACCTTTGGAATAGTATAGTCTGGTCTCAGGGCCTGAAAAATATGGGTTCATGTTATCGAAGTAAATTTAATTCGTATGCAAATATTTCACTGAGCTCACTTATTTCTATAATATTTCACTCAATTTATTCACTCCCCTGCCTAAAGTACGTCTCCGCGAGCCCAAAATTTCCTAATTTTGGCACCATGGTGATATGTTTCTCAATTTTGTCAAAGAAAAATTTGTCAGCTAAAATTGTGTTCGAGTCTCAATTTGGCTGAGATTGAAAACAAAGTAAGATTTTTTCGTAGCAACTAGGAAGTTATATAACTTTGAATGATTTATAAAAAATTATTTATTTTGTAAAAAAATTTGATCGAAATTGGTCGTGAAATTGAATTTGTTGCCCAATTTGAAGCTCGTGGCAACGTACTTATAGCAAAAGTTTTTTAAGTATATTTATTTTTTTCAATACATCAAATGTATCAAATATTCTTAACATTTTACAAAAAAAAAGTTGTATTCAAATTTCATTATTCACAATAAATCATAGCTGCATTTTGTATAATTCATTTAATTTTCATATATCAAAAACCGAAAAATATTTATCATTATACATTTATACCAAATTTTGAACAAAATTATCCAAATTAAGTCCCTTTTGTAAATTTATTAAAAACCAAATTTAAATTAACTACTTACTAATTTACATACATAACTATATGCTAATACAAATTAACATCTAAAGACAAACTCTGCAAAAATGTACAAATATAATTTACTAATCTATTTTTTCTTTCATATTTACGCCTTTCTCCCTTAACTTCCAACTACTTACCCACTTCCATGAACACTCCCACCCACGCCAAACTGCCTTTGCAATGCAATGATATTACTGATTTCAAAAATTTCAATAACAAAAAACACAAATAACTTCCTTACCACACACACACACACACACACAAACCCACTTCCAAAATAACAACAACAAAAAACACACACTCACTCATACACACAAAATGGACTTCTGCGGAAATTTAGGCCAATGAAATTGAAGATGAACCAGAACCATTGAGCATGGCTTGGCCCGATACTGCCCGCAAACGGCTCACCTATATATTGGTGGCGCCACTGCTTATACCCATGTGGCTGACATTGCCCGATACGCGAACACCGCGTGGCAAAAAATTCTACCCAGTCACGTTCATCGGCTCAATACTGTGGATCGCTGCCTTCTCGTATCTGATGGTGTGGTGGGCGAATGTTGCCGGCGATACGGCACGCATACCACCCGAGGTGAGTACCAAAAAAAAAAACAAAATGTATGTTGTAAGTGTGTTCGTAAGCACATACATACCCTGTGGGGAAAATCTCTAGTTCTGAACTGGGGCGCTTCTAGTACATTTAGACCCAGTACTGGTTCGCGATAAATCTCTTTTGCATGCAAGCAACTGGCGAATTTAACATGGCGATGTCCTAGGAAGTGTCAATTGCCCCCCGCTGCATCCCTTTTTCGATAGTTCCGAACTAGCCCTAAATTCTATAGTTCCGAACCAGTTCCAAAACCGACAGACGAAAGAAAAAAGTATCATGGTTTTTCAATCTTTTCGGTTCTTCCGTGTGCGATTTTACATTATTTTCAAAGAAACGTTTTTTCAATTTGAAATTAAATTTGCTTGAATGATTGTAAGAAATGTACGTTTACAAACCTTGCTGTAGCTGACTTTGCAGAGGTGCTCGCTGTTATTGGTTAGATACCAGACGGCCCCAAGATGTTAATATGTTAACACAAAGCTTTGTTTTGTATTACCAAACTATGAAATAGCATCTGCGAAGTACAGCATAGAAGCGTATTTGAACGAAAAAGCCGCCGAACACATATCTATGTAAAGTAAACAAGCCCCCCGCTGCATCCCTTATTCGATAGTTCCGAAATAGTTCTAAATTCGACAAATAGGATCTAGTTCGTTCTGCATCCCTTTTTCTATAGTTCCGAACCATTTCTAAATTCGTCACTTTAGATATAGATTTGTAGTGAAAAAAACCGAAAAAATTAGTTTCTTAAAAGTACCACTTTTCGCCGATTTTGGACTGCTGGGGATCTAGTTCCTATCGGACTAGTTCCTTTTTGGCAATAAAGACCTAGTACGGAACTAGAAATTTGATTCACTAGTCCACGGTTTCGCTGCAGGGTATTTGCGCCTTCTCGGCAATTACCGCTGCACAGGCCTATACTTAAATACATATATTTTACATATCGCCACTGTGACTTGCAATGTGGGTCAACATTCTTATTATTTGTGTGCACATGAACATTTTTTATCTTTTAATAATGGTACTTTCTGGCATCTCTTTCCTGAGCTCATTATTAACTTTGTTCTTTTTTCGTGTGCACATAAATAAGTATACATACATATGTGTAGTATATGTATATAATTCTTTTTTCCTTCTCTTACACTTCCATTTTCTAGGTAATGGGTTTGACCTTCCTCGCCGCCGGCACATCAATACCCGATTTGATAACATCGGTGATTGTGGCGCGCAAAGGATTTGGTGATATGGCGGTTTCCAGTTCAGTGGGTAGCAATATTTTCGACGTCACTGTAGGGTAAGTAACATTTCTTATGTACCTAAATACATACATAATGTACTGATTTTAATAAGTTATGCTTTGTGAACTTAAATATTGCTATTTTTGCTGATCTAATTCTTTGTCAGAAATTAATTAATTTTTGAATGCCTTTATTGGTCGATTGTGTGAGGTATTTCAACTGCTAATCTCATGAAAATATTTATTTGAGCAAATATGCGTGTAAGGCATCACTTTATTTAAGCAAAAAACTGTTCCAAGAAATGCTGTGACAGCCTTCTTAACAGGAAATTTGGTGCGGAAGCTTGCGCTGGGTAGCTCAGCACTGAACGGAGTTATCGAGCTGATTCTCAGCAGTGTGCCGTACACTCGGACTGACTTCTTAAAAAAAATGTGGCTCAGTAACGCTGTAAATAATGAAAATGAAGAAGAGAAAACAGCGACGCAAGTTACCCAAGAACCGTCCCCCCAAGTACTGACCTCCCCGGTACCGGTGAAGAGTACTTCGTCGGGAGGCGGTTTGAGCACTACGCTCGCAGGTTCGCTCCAGTTGGTTGTACTCAGTCCTAGGCTACCACTAGTAGGCTTTTCCACGTTTTGTATACTGCCTCTGCAGTTGGAACGCACGGCTCTGGCGACTGGAACGGCCTAGGTTCCAGTCCGCGCTTACGCGTTAGTTTTATATTTAAGAGGCGGTCTGAAAGCACAAGTTTCTAAGCCGCACGGCCATGGCGCCTTGGCGGTTGGAACGGCAAAGGTTCCAATCTGGTGAACATCATGGTTTGGTTCCAATCCGCGGCTACGCTTCGAGTTGGTTTAATCACGGGTGATACGTCGGTGTCTCTCTAGGCTCCACAGCTTCTTCAGAATTGAAGTTAGTGTATCGGTGGTTGATGCGCATTCACTAGCTCCTTTCATCAAATAGTCGACTACTGACTTTGGCGTTAACACTCTTCCAACGGCTAGTTTTAATTTGTTCCACGCCACTGCTGCAGTAGTCGCAGTACGGGTCCTGCTCTTCTTTGTATATAAACAGATAAGTATGCCTTAAAACAGCTATTCTCGCTCAAGAACTGGCTCAAAAAAAATCTTCTTCGCCATGCGCTATACTAGGCTAGGATACCAGATTTGGTAAGCAGAGATAGCTCCAACGACGCTTAGTCATACTATTCCGCTTAATTTTCCACTCCTTTTTCCTTTCTTTTTTTCCTATTTGAGTTAGAGCATGCGGCGTGGATGCAAGGTGCGTCGATTTTCTCGCCAGTATAAGTATGGACGGGTATCATACTGGCGATTACGAAAGCTGCTTCGTCCGACAAACAGTATGTTGAGTTGACTCCGCGGAAGTTTGCTGGACACTGTGCCGCGTTTGACCTCATTGGGGCCACATACAGTCTTTGGCTTTTAGCCACTCTTGATAAGAGTAGACTCCTTTTAAGCATTATTCGCGATAGTCTTGTGATCGTTGAAGTTGCTTCCTCTCTCCCATAGCTCAAGTGGGCGCTGAAAAGAAGACGATTGTCTAGCACCACTCCGAGGTATTTAATTGTGGGTTTCGTCGTGATGATGTGGTAGCCAATTTTCAGCGCTATCTCCTCTAATTTCTTACGACTCGTATTGTTTATGTTTTTTGCTCGACTAGCTTCAGTCCGACTTACGACCAACTTTTCGCATATGGCATCAGGCTGTTTCGCAAACACTACTTCCGCAGCATCTTCTGCAAAGCCTATTATAAATGAATCCTCGGCTAATTCGGTGCTAAGAACTCTATTTTAGATAATATCCCATAGCAAAGGACCGAGTACGGGTTCTTGTAGAACGCCACCTGCTATCTCAGCCAGTTGCAGATCCTCTTTCGTTTCGTACCGCAGAATTCGCGAATTGAAATAACTTCGTATTAGTCTTCAACACTCTCTTTGCGCCAAACTGACACATTAAAATGAGCATGAGTCATTGAGTCAAATCGCGAAATTTCACTGAGTCGTGGATGCCGTGTTTTCCGACAGTGTTACCAAAGATCTCTTCCTTGCCGAGCCTGTCGTTGAAATCGCCAAGCATGTTTTTAATATTGTGATGGGAGCAGCAAGGACGTCAACCAGCCAGACAGAGGCACGTTCCTCACTAAAGGTCCGGGTGTTCCGGGCGCAAGCCCACAAATCTTACTAGTCCTTGGTACATTTGTCGTGGTCATCATCAGAAGAAATAGGTCTTGTCTCTGGCTTCATATTTTAATTGCAGTTAGCTTTCACGTGGCGGGTACCGCGCAGCGCAATGCTGGGCGTTCTCCTTCTTACAGATTAGCTAGCTTCCGAAGGGGTGTTCAGTAGCTACCTAGAAGATGCATGATCCGGAAGTTATGAGCTGCTTAAACCGGATGCAAAAGAATCTTTTTCGGCAACTCCCAGGTGAACAGGAGTGTGTGAAATTTCTGCGTGTTCAATGTTAGTGATTTGGTGTTCTAGAATTTTTTTTTTATAAAATTGAATGGCCTACAAGTTTGTCATTCGCATTTTTTTCTGTAGCTCTTGTAATTTACGAGATAGGGTCAAAAAAACGGCAATTGAATCAAAATATTGAGTTTGGTGACACGTACTAACTCGCTGGTGGGAGTTTTGTAGAGTACTCAAATCTGAAGAAAATCCGTCATGGACTATATTTGTACGATAAAATTCCTCTGAGCTGTAGAGGTTTGAAAAAAAAATCAAAGCTTACGTGTATTTTATATGGGAAATCTTTGCACGCCTTGGGCGAGTACTTAATATTAATATTAGGGTTCAAATTTTCAGGGAGTTTTTTAGGTGTTTTCCACAAAATTTCGAGGTAGGAGCGAAAAAAACAATGGTCGCAAAAAAATCACCCTAGTATACATATATGATTTAATCGAGTTTACTTAGCCAAACAGGTGGCAGCCTTCTTTGAAATTACTTGGAAAGCGAGCATTCTTAAACCTCTTTCAACACCCATATTTTAACATTTCTTCCACCTAATCAAATTAAGGGAATTTAATTTTTCAAACAGTTGGCAACCCTCTGAAAAAAATTGTTTAATGTTCTATTAAGTTAATTTAACTTAACTTTTTAAACTCCTATTAAGTTAATTTAACTTAACTTTTTACACTCTTTTAACTTAGCTATGAACCTTCACGATCATGTTCAACATAGAAACTATCGACTAGAAACTTTAAGCGGCTTCTCCTTTAAATGTATATGCATACATCTATGATCGTTTTTGTGTTAAAAATATTTACACTAATTTCAATTTTATTTAAACTTTTTTTTTAGTCAATTTTTCTAAATATAACATTTAAAATTGAATCAACAAGGACACTACAACATAAGTATGTATGCAAGTATGTGTTCACCATATTTCCCGTATGGCTTATCATTTAAAAACCGAAAAGAGACTTTGACAGACATAAGTCGCAAAAATTTAAGCCTTGTTAAACCATGTAACCATTCAGCACTTAACCTTAACTTGGGTTACATACATACATATGTACATATTGTATATGAATACATATCGTACATGAGTGCTTGTACCACACACCTACGCCAATTTAGCTTTCGAGTGCCGTGGGCTAAAAAGGCAACCAGCAAAATGTGGAAAAATGTCGAACAATTGAAAAAACTCAAACCCTTGCGTATACAAATAGTATACTCAGTAACATACATATATACATAGTATGTACGTATGTATGTCTGCCTGTTTTGTGCATATGAATGTATACTATGCTTGCAACACATTGTGCGACTAATCTCTAAAGAGAGTATTCCGAGATTACTCTCAATCGGGTACAATTAATTAGTCACAACTAGTCGCATATGGGTACTATTGGAGATCAATTAGTCTCGACTCATTCCTTACGGGTATAATTGGAGATCAATTAGTCACCGACTCACCTCTAACGGGTACTATTAACGATTTAATGATACGTACGCACTTAGTCAATGAAATTTCATGTGCGGCGTTGGCCCACAGAGAGAGTGTTCGCCTGACAAAACTGAGCACCCCGGTTCGAATTTCAGCTGGCGCAAATTTTTATTTGTATTTTTTTAAAAGTGACTAGTCGCTTTTTATACCCGTTCGGATATAAAGGTGAACAATTTGTCTCTTCATAGGACATGCTCGAACAAAAGCGATCAGTTTATTCCATATAAAGAGATCAAAAGTGATATTAGTCGCATGCTCCTTTGCGATTGCTCCCGGAGTCATCCCGGATTAGTCGCATTTTTTGCAAGGATGTTACTGGCACTCGTGTTTGTGTTTGTGTGCGTTAAGCTGCGGCAGTTAAGTCTCACAAACACTCATTAATACGCCATTCAACATTTGGAATGACATTGAATAATGAAAATGTTCACAAGCCATACGAAATGCACAAGCGATAATACACTATTGAATCCATACATACATACATATGTACACAATGTATGTAAGTATATGAGTAAATCTCACGAAAAAATCGTTAAATATCAAAAATTACAAAACAGCTGCTGATTTTTATTTTTTTTTTGTTTTTTTGTGGCACACTCTTAAAACTTCACAGATATGTTGTACTTGATGCCAACGTTCATTTCCTTTCAATATGAACATCATATTTCAAAACTTCTTAAAGTTATTAAAAAAAAAATCAATTGTTATTTTTTTCGACCGACAATAAAAAATATGTAATTTCGTAATACTTTTTAGCCTAAATAAACATTTTAAAACTAAAGTTCTTAAGTTGTTCAAATACTTGAATTATTTTTAAATTTGCTAATTTCTGAAACTCTATTGATTGAAATAAATGCAAACAAAAATTCCTTAGTTTTGTTTGTATGCCCCAAAAAGTGTAGCACATGTAACGTAAACGTATGTGAGCATGGCTCAAATGGAGGTGCACTTATTTTCTACTCGTATAACCAAAAAGTCGCTTACAGAAGCAATCAACAAACTCACGCGTACAGGCATAAATTTTAAACCGCACACTTGAGCGAGTTCAAATGCATACCATGTAGTTACTACCTACATACATATCTATG